AGCATTGCATGTCTATATCTGTTTTCATGAGAAACCACTTTGAAGATATCAATATGTAATATAACAAGCATTGTTAATTCCCTACCATTTTGTTTGTAACTGAATACTGTCCATACTGTTCCTTTGCTATTTTGTAAAATGTTGTCTGTCTGTTAATATTTTCCTTTTATTTTTAAAATAAAAAAAAAATAGAATAAAGGGTTTAAAACTCTGGAATGTTTTGAAATATCATTATTTTCATTTGGGAAAAGGTCCTTTTGTATTAATACAAATTTTCTACTTGAGCTGTTAAACTAAGTAAACTTAGAAATATTTTGATAAAATAAATAAGTTGGAACATATTTTTGGAAGAGTTACCTCAAAGACTTCCTATTAACAAAAATATTAAAAGTTAAAACACATGTATAAGATAGGATCATGGAAATATTTTGCATGATATTCACTGCACATTGACTAAGTATTTGCTTCACATATGTAAATGTATACTATTAAAGTATTTCTACACTTAAGAATGCAAGTCCTCCCTTGGGATGAAATCATTTCCTAAGGTCAAGAAAAATTAGACAGAATTACAGTATGCATATATTTATTTGCCATTTGTATTTCTTCATCTGAGAAGTGTGTACTCACCTCAGATGCCCATTTTTTTATTGGAATTTGGGGGGCCTGATTTTTTTTAATTCTTTATATGCTTTTGATAGAAGTCCTTTGAGGAATAAGGGGAGGAGAAAAGAAAGAAAGAAAGAAAGAAAGAAAGAAAGAAAGAAAGAAAGAAAGAAAGAAAGAGAAAAAGATATGTACATAAAAGAATAGCTGGGATAATTGTACTGCTGATTTCTATTGGTTTATGAAAAGGAACAGTTAATGTTTAATTTTTTTCTTTTTAAAGTGTTTGACCAATTTTGCATGCTTAGGTCTGGTAATATGAACAAATAATTTGAAGACAACTACATGCAATATAGCAAACAATGCTGAGTTCCTATCATGTTGGTTAGGGAAATTCTGTATCATTTCCATTATTTTTTCAAAATTTTTTATTCCCTTTAAAAAATGTAACATTATTTTATTTTTAAAGTAAAGCTACTATTTAAAGTGTTTGATTTTTATAATTCTGACTATAATTTTAAAAAATTATGGGGAAATTAAAAGTTCAGAAAATAGCAGTACATCCTACAAGTTTTATATATGGATTTTTTAATACAGTATTTTTGCAAGACAAATCCTGTATTCCATTTTTTTTTTTTTTTTTTTTTGGTCCAGTACCAGGAATTGAACTCATGACCTCACGCTTGCCAGGCAGGCGCTGTGCCCCTGAGCTAAATTCTCAGTCCCTGTATTCCATTTTAAATAACATAAAAAACTATGGAATGGACACATTTGCAAATAGACACATTTGCAAACATCAAATTTTTGTCTCAGTTAGCTATCTATTATGAAACCTGTGAAACCACAAATCCAGCGTGTGTAAGGTCCTAGGTTAGATCCTACCACCATCAGGAAAAAAAATTTAATGAGAAAGGATCATACTCAAATTAAATGTATATTTTACATATTTAAGTATTCTTGGTCGAGTGTAGTGGCACACACCTACAGTCTCAGCACTCAGGAGGCTGAGGCAGGAGGATCACCACAAGTTGGAGGCCAGCCTGGACTATATAGTGAACTCAAGGCCAGCCTGAAATACACAGCAAGACCATGAATTAAAAAAAAGAGAACTCTTAATATTTATATTAAAACCCAAATCATATTAACCTTTCTCTTCTCTTGCATGAACAATTAGGAATTGAACAATTAAATTAGACAATATAGTACTGTGAATTGAACATAGCACACGAATAATTTAACATTTGACAGCATTTGGTGCACACTAAACAGTGTTACGTGACTGTACTTTTATGGCTAAGTTAGTAGTTGGAAAGGAACTAATCTTTGAGTAAGGCCTTTGCTGGATACAGTAGGACCTTGATTAAGAAATACACCTACCTCACAATGCTTATACTCATGTGGAAGAAAGAGGAAGCATATAAATAAATACACTACGACCGGTCTTAAAGTGTAATATGGAAGGTTAGGGAAATTCCCCACTATAGTTTTTGAAGAAGTTTTCCAAGGCATGTCTTATTACTCAGCTTCTCCTTGAAAGGATGTGTTTCACTTGAGCAAAAAAATGGCATTTCTGGGGTTGGGGATTTAGCTCAGCGGCAAAAGCGCCTGCCTGGCAAGCGCAAGGTCGTGAGTTCGGTTCCCGGTACCAGAGAAAAACCAAAAAAAAAAGGCATTTCTGAGAAAGAATAACATAAGCCAAACTGCTCAACTACATTATATGAAAACACTATTTCCAGAAGTTATATAATGGATTTTCTGACGTGAAGGGTCGGGTCCTCTGGTTAAATGAGTCTTTAAAAGCTGTATGAAAAAGACAGCTTTCTTGAGTAAAGGACAACTTGGGCCCTTTACTATGTTAATGCGTACTGTGACTCTCCACAAAAGAATTGTATGTGTACTCAATTCAGTGAACTATAGAATGCTTTCCTCAGGAAGCTCTGTTAGCATCTCTGTAACTTACCTCTGAGCAATGCCGGCAGAGGAAAAGTACAGAGGCAGTAACTTGCAAACATAAGAGCGAGAAAAGTGACTTAGCTGGCGCTGATGCTACAGTCAGGGGAGCGGGAAAGCCTAGTCTGCAAAGGGGGGTAAGTAACCGCATGCTAGCAGGCCTTAAAATTCCAAGTAAGGAGATTTTAGTTAATCCCTACTAAACCAGCAACCATTGAACATATTAAAGCCAAGAGTGATAATACTCAGGGTAGTGTTTTAGGAAGATTAATTTGCCACTGGCATAAAGGATGAATTTGAAAAGGAAGAAAATATAGGCCAGAGAAAACTGAGAAAACAATTGTAATAATCCAGGTAAGAAGTAATGAGAGTGAACCAGAGGGCTTCTGGGTTTGCATGGGGGTGGGGGAGGGGGATAGTGACTAGCTGAATTTTTCATGGGTAGGGCAGCAAAAAGTAAAAGAAAACTCAAACTCAATTTAACAAACTAAAAATGGTGGTAAATTTTAAATACATAAGAATGAAGAAAGAGCTGGATTGAGGAAAGACAACAGATCAGGAATAATGGGTTAGATTTAAATATGCAGCAAACCTTCCAACGGGAACAGCTAATCAAAATCTAGAAATAAAAAACAAATTCAAAACAACTGACACGCTAAATAGTGATATTTGAAGGTATGATACTGAATAGGAATTTGAGCAAGAACACATACAGAAAAGAATAGGTGACGGCCTGGAGTGCTGGCAGAAGCTTACAATTCCAAACCTCTGAGCTGAGGTTGGAGGACTGCAAGTTTGAGCCCACACTGAGCAAATTAGCAAGACCATCTCAAAATATAAATGGGGGGGGGGGGCCGGGGATATAGCTCAGTGGCACAAAACCTGCCTGGCAAGTGTGAGGTCCTGAGTTCGATTCCTGGTAGCAAAGAAAAACAAAATAGGACTGTTTAAACGGGGGTTAGCAGAGTGCTTGACATCATGTAGCTCAGTGCAAAAGCCATGGCTTCAGTCCCCAATATCAATACATACATACACACATACATTCATAAATAAATACAAACAGTAGAGGGCCAAACACGGAAGAATGCCACCAGTTAGGGGGTGCAAAAATGAAGACATTTTCAGATCTAAAAAGTCAGATAATGTAAAGAAAAAAGAGAGATTTACTAAAAAGAAATTATATATAAGTGATGTAGGCTAAAGATAGGAAAAGGTCATCAATTCAATACTTAGTAGTTTCCTAGTTACTTTTGATGTAATTTTTCAGTAAACTGACAGAAGTAAGCCTAGTCAATCAACCAATACCTATGGAGTATTCACTATGTGAAGACACCCTCTTCAGTTTCTTAGTATTCATTTATGACTTAAAATATGTTCATGAGTACTTAGTGAATTTTAAAGTTGAGATGCCCCAATTAAGATTTTACGTGCATATGGGAGCTTTTCATCCAAGGGAATGGAGGTGGAAACAAAATGTGCATAGGCTTGAAAATGATGGTATGCTAGATTTGAAGGGAACACAAGGAGCTTTGGGGACAATTAAAATTAATGAGCATTTTCATATTCCTTTTGAAAAAACACTATGCACTCGATTTTTCAAATCATCATGAAAATTTCATCTCAGAAACAGTTTTCATTGCAGTATATGCCACTGAAAATATTCAGGGAAGCTTAAGCAACTGATGCCTTATTCTTTCAAAGATTAAAATGACTTACAGTCCTGGAAAATCAAATCCATAGAGTTATTTCAACTAAAATGTGAGGCTGCCAAAAAAGTCTGCTTCCAGTTACATTTTTCCTTCTATCGTTCAAGATAATTTTCTACGATCGAACTCACTGCGTCATGACACAAAGTCTATATCTTGTTTCATTACCTGGGTCCGAAGTTGCTGGATTTCTGTTTCCAGTTCTTTGATTTTTTCTTCTCTTTTTTGAAGCTCAGCTTGAGCTTCCTGTCGAGCAGTGAATTCTTCATCGAACTGCAATAATCATCACCATAAATGTACAGTTAATAACATACTTTTGAGAAAGCTTTAAAGAACATTAGTAAATAACTGAAGTGAGTTTTACCTCGGTGAATTCATCACTCAGAAAACCAGAGCTCTTGAATATTTTTATGAGAATTAAGTATCCATATTGGGTTAGGGCATTGTTTCATTAGTAAAACTAATGAAGGAATATATACCCCCCCCCGACACACCCAAGGTAAAACCTTTTACTTTTTGAAAAACGAATACAAAAAAAAAGGCCAGACTGAAGTCTCTTTTCATGTATAAAGCATGATTTTATGTTGCTGAAAAATTGATTTTAGAATTAATGTTTATTAATGTTTCAGCCTATACTTGTAAGATTAATAAGAAAATCAAATTCAAAAAAATGACAAGCAGTTTGATACCCTTAACTGTATCTAATCCTGAAAAGAAATTACACTTTTAGAGTGCTCAAACGAATGCACATTAATACCAATTAGAATATTTTTATTAAAATCACAATTGTCCAGCATCCAAAAAACTGAGTTCCACAAAATCAAACAATAATTTGATACATGCCATAGTAACAGTTTCTCTCAGATGGTTAACCAAAACACTTGTATTACATGTTGTAAGTGGGAAAATGAGAGGTTAAAATATGATGTGCTAAGACAAAGAGACTGTCAAAACGGTGAATATTCATTCTCTGCATCCTCCTCCAGCCCTTACTGCAGAGTCAGAGTTCTGAGCAGGCACAAAGCAGCCTGAATATTTACAGTGAATACTGCCTACCTCCCATTATAGAACATTTTATTTGCTTTATTGTCAATGTCACCTTAAGTCACTGTATAAATCTACACATTATTTCAACAATATTACTTGTGTTTCCAAAAGTGACATATCTTACTGTCCAAAATTATCTTTATGGTTTGTAGAACGATATAAATGTATGTCCACTGTAATAAATATTCATCATCACAGTAGATTTGGCGTTTGGAAATTATACAATGCCATTCTGCTATAAATCTGAAGAAAGAGTGGCTGGGAAAAAGGGATAATAATAGTATTTAGGTCAAACCTGATATATTAGTCAGAAATGCCTTTACCAATCTCTACTGGAATCCCTGGAAAATACCCTTAGCAGTTGATGCAGATTGCCTCTAATATGTTTACTTTTCAAAAGCATCCCAGATATATGGGGTTAAGGACCCACAAATCTATAAATAGCCTTATTTTCCTAGCTCACTAAGGAGGTGGAGGTCCTTCAATTGTAGCTTACTCAAGTTCACTACTACCCATGTTCAGACTTATCTGAAGCGATGTTCCCATTCCTGCCTCCCAAAATTGGCTTCTTGGGTTTCTCAAAGGTGACATCTACACAAACTCACTACCCACCAGTATTCCTCTATATGTGGCTTATTGGTACACTTGCAAGGGGACACAAAATGTTTTTCCTTTTAATTTAAAATGATGTTAATCCATACAAAAATAGAAATCACAGAAGTCTGAAATATATAAGCTGGAGGAGATCTTACAAGTCCACTAATTTTATTCTCTCCTTTTAACAATGAAGAAAAAAAGATCCAAGGAGTGTAAGTGCTTTACTTAAAGTCATAGCTAATTAGTAGAAAGCATGGGATCAGACATTACAACTTCTGCCTCTCATTCTAACAGTTTTCAAAAAAAAACTGCATACTGCTTCTTAAAATGACCTAGAAGAAGATAACACACGGAGACAAACATTAGTTTATCCCCATGCACGTTTCCATTCTAAATGCTGGTAATGAGACTAGGTATAAAACAATGAAATTTCTATGATTTCAAAATTTCTTTTTTCATATTATATGCTTACAGAAAAGTTTGCAAGATCAATAATCACAATTAGTTTCCATTCTTATGATGGCTAATTACAGTGCCAGGTGAAAATTAAGGAGATTTGAAAATTTTCAAAGGGAATTTAAGACCTGCTACTTAAAATAAGAATGTTGAAACATAAAAGTCTATTAATAAAAAACATGCATTTTCTTTCACCCACAGAAATGACAGTTTCACACAAACATTGTATGTCAAGCTCAAGCTCTTAAAATCTATTCTAGTAACTGCAAGATCAAAGGCATTTCTTCAAATGCCCTACAGTAACTATAATTTGTAGAGTGATAGCAAAATAGATTATCTAATCTCCAAGATAATTCATAACTTTGAAGAGACAGCAATATGTAAGCACTTTATCTTGCTAGTAGATGGCTAAAAAGTGGAGAGCTTTTAGACTTGTGCTTCAATCCTTTTCCCTATACACAACAGAAGAAAAGTACTATACTAATGCTTAATTGCATCTAAGGAAGGGAGTAAAGAGTGAGAGAGGGAAGGAATGAGGGAGGGAAAGAAGGAAGCAGGGAAGGAAGGGCAGGAGGCAGGGAGGGAGGGAGGAAGGAACGAAGAGAGAGAGGATGGAAGGGAGGGAGGAAGGGCTTTTAGTAGAAGCTAGTTATGTCTATGTTTTCACGAAAAAAGGAAAAGACCATCAGACCTAAATAACATCAATATTTATAAATCTGCCAATTACTCAAAGGCATTTCTATAAGGCATTAACATAGAATGAGAGAGAAATCTCAAGTTCCATCAAGTCTACACACACGATGTAGCACCACCATGTGACAGAAGGTAATGACAAAATTCAAAGACCAAAGTAAGAGGTGGGGAAAGACAGAGGTCACTGCAACTACAATGTTCCATTGCTATCAGTAGCATCGAATCTAAAGATCAGAGCTTTAAAGACCAGCTAAATAGTTCACATTTCTCCCAGGAATTACCTATTTTAAGTGAGAGCTATAGGAAGGTAATGAGGGAATTTATTTTGGTTGATTGCTTCTAAGTATATCTTTTCAGCTCTAATTTTATTTCATTTATCACATTAGTATAATGTGACTAGCGTTTTTCTTTCATAATAGGTTAGAGACAAGGGAGAGGGAGTAAAACTAACCTTATCTTACTAGGAAATAAATCAATATTCTGTTCTTTGGTTTAAATCTAGAAATATAAAGTACTGTAATGCTAACAATGTTATATAAAGTACTGTAATGCTAACAATGTTAAAGTCTCATATAAAGAAACAAGATAGAATATGTGCTGTGGTTAAGCTATTAATTTAACAATCATATCTAATTTCTATAAATCTTACCTTCTTTGAAAATTCCACTGCTTTTTGTTCACTTTCTTCAACTTTTGCCTTGTTCACACAAGAATCTAGTAAGAGTTACCAAAAATGATTAGAAATTACGGCATAAGATTTCTAGCCAAAAAGGTTGCTACCAGTCTACCATTCCATGCAGATTATCCTTTTCAATGCAATTGCTATTAAAGGGAAATTGATCTATAAAACAAATCAACACATTTTCATTCTTTACTATACTGTCAATTGAATGATAGTATTTTTGAAGCATAAAACCAAGAATCCATAAATATATTTGGTTAAATTAGTATTGTTTTAAAGGTACTTATGGTTTAACTGTTACAATTGTCAACCTCAAAAAAATTTTGGTAGTTCACTTTGAATCGAGAGGTAGCAAAGACTCCATGTTAAGGATTATCAATATTCAAATTTATCCTTAAAAGTTGTAAGATTGAGTCATGTCCATTAATAGAAGATTCTCAGTGAAAGATTTGACTTCTGATATGGAACACAATGTATCATGCACACAGAGAAACAAACTTAACACTTCCCTAGTTGATAATACACTTCAGAATATAAATAGTGAAGTTGGGTACAGTGATGCAACCCTGTAATCTCAGGTACTCAGGAGGCTGAAGCAAGAAGATCTTAAATTCAAGCTGCTAGCTTAGGCAACTTAACAAGACCATCTCAAAATAAAATTCTGAAAAACAGCGAGGAATGAATCTCAGCGACAGATTGCTTGCTTGATATGCATAAGATTTTGAGTTCAATCCTCAGAATTGCCAAATAAGAGAAAAAAGAGATGTCATTCCTTATAAATAATGGAAGAACCTTGTTTGGGCAATAATATATTAAAGTCTGTTCTGTACCTACCCTTCTACACCTATTTACTCAAAAGAAATGAAAATATATGTCTGTACCAAGACTCGGATGTGAATGTTCATGGCAGCTTTATTTGAAACAGCTAAAAACTGGAAAGAAGCCAAATGATGATCAACAAGTATATGCATGAACCAATGCTGGTATATTCATACTACCCAACAATGGAAAGAAATGCACTAATGATACATATAATAAAACATGTATGTATCTCAAAATAATTATGTTTAATAAAAGAAAAAGAAAGCACATGCTGTTTTCACTTATAGGAAATTTTAGAAAATAAAATTTATAAGAGAGAAAGAGTAAACAAGACCAGTAAGAAAGAGACCAGTGGCTATCTGAGGCAAAAGAGATGTGGGAGCCATGGGACAGGAGGGCTAAATGGAAAATGCAAAAACTTTCAGAAGTAATAGAGAGCTTTATTATCGTGACTGAGACAATGTGTGTGTGTGTGTGTGTGTGTGTGTGTGTGTGTGTGTGTGTGTGAAGGGACTATTTCCAATATATGTATACTATGTATATGTATAATCTCAGAACTTATCACAATGTATACTTTAAATATGAGTAGCTTTTGTCAACTTTAGTTAGTTTTTTTTTTCTTTTCTTTGTATATGTGGCTGGAGCAAAGTAACTGAAGGGAAAAGTGCTCCTTGTTAAAGTCAGCAGGGAGGCCATATATATGGTGTGCCAGACACAGTCAGGAATGCCTTGGATTTTATTTAAATTTCAATGGGAAGGCATTGGACATTTTTAGGCAAGAATTTGATATGATTTAATTTAGAAGAGACACTAAACTTACAGAAACGTGAAATCGTAAGTTGCTCTAATATTCTTAGGTTTAAGTGATCTTGAAATAGTTCTTCAAGCATTTAATAACGTGTGTGCGTGTGTGCACGTGTGTTCGAATGAAAGTTCCACAGAAATCATTAGCTTATCAAAAAGGACCCTCAGCATAAAATAATAAGAACTACACATAACTTTCACTGACCTGATTTTAGAATTGAGGAACATAAAACCTAGAAATGTCAGATGATTGCAGTACAATCAGAGAGACATGTGCAAGAGGCCATAATGTATCTATGTTGCAGACTATTCTCTCTCAGCTCATCCCTTCCTCTATAATGCTTCTGATTACCAATAAAACAATTATAAGTACCTGGACACAGCACATAAAACAAATGTCTGTGGAACACCAAAAAGATCACCCAGATCAATAGTAGAGTCTATGTGCCAACTAGGGTCCCTCATAGATTGCAAGCCAATACACCTGTATGGAAATACTCCCTTGTGACTCCCTCCACAAAGTACAAAATTAATTACTAAGTTTATCCAACTCAGTGAAAAATATGCAATGAGGCCAGGGCCGACTTTCATTTCTGAGGCAAGGTAAACCGGCACAAGCTTTCTGAAAAACAGCCATACTCTCCTTTATCACAATCAATCCTAAGGAAATAATGAGCAAAGGCCAAACACTCTAATGTTCATATCAGATTCATTTATAATTCAAGTGAAAATTTGAAAACAATCTAAATGCCCAATAAGAAAGGAGAGTCTATAAGATGAAATGAAAAGACAGAAGGAAAAAGAAAAGATATGTATATATACATAAGATAGTTAAGATAATTGCACTACTAATTTCTGTTAGTTCATTGAAAGGGACTGTTAGGGACTGTTAGGGTTTACATTGTTTGATCAATTTTGGATGCCTGTATCTGGTAATCTGAGCAACCACTTCAATATGCAATATAACAACTGTGGTTAACTTCCTATCATCTTGTTTTGAAATTGTGTATCACTTTTATTGTTGTCTCTTTAAAATGAAAAAATTAAAAAATAAATAAAAGTCTCATTTTCAACATTGACATGACAAATTTCAATATAATGTTCCATGAAAACTTAGCATTTATACAGATGAGAGATGAGATGGGCAAGCCAACAGAGAGATACTGTATAAGGAAATGCACTAAGCTGGGCATAGTGGTGCACATCTGCAATCCCAGCACTCAGGAGGCTGAGGCAGGAGGATCACTGCAAGTGTGAGACCAGCCTGGGGTACACAGTAAGTTAAAGGCCAGCCTGAACCGCAGAGAAAGAGCCCGACTCAAAAAAAAAGAAAAGGAAATGTACTGAGCTGAGAAGGAAGTAACGGTGATGTGACTGGTGGTCTGCTATTAATATTAAGTTTATTGTCTTTAGCAAATGTGGACTATATTTAAAAACAGAAAAAGTACATTACAAAGAATAAGGCATACATCTTTAAATATTACTGCAAATAAATAATGTATACTTGGCAGTCAACAGCTGTTGTTTTCTTTCTTTAAAGACAAGTGAGTTCATACTTGAACTTTACCACTACCGATTTCCATTAGGTATAGAAAACACTGCTTAACTGTAAGGCCATGTAATGTAGTATATTTCACAAGGGAAGTCTCACTTCATCCTTTAGAGACTATTCTGGGAAGCATTGCTAACTATCATTCTAGGCTGATAAAAAGTCATTTTCTCAGCAATTTAAGGAGATGAATTTGATAACCTCAAATTCTGTCCCAGCTCTAAGGTTGATAAAAATACAAATTTATCTATTTGATAGCCTATAAAAGCCTTAAGTTGCTGAAATAAGCCTGCATTTCTTTTTCCAAACTTGAGCACTAATAACTTAGCTATAATACTAATGAGACTCTATTGTACTCATGAGCTCTACAAAACCTCTAAGATACCAGCATAAATTATAATTAAGGATTTCGGATTTGTGCTTCTAAAACACAAAGCATTCACTTACAATAATACAATGACTTTTTCTGGGGGTACTGAGTTCAAACTGAGTTTAGAAGTGTGAAAACTTATCACATAGGTTAATATATCCAATCACACAGGCACAACTCTCATAATAATCATAATAATTATACCAATTAGGTGCCTTGAGACACAGTGATTTTCTAGATAGTAATAAAAGAAGCTCAGTGAGAGATCTACTTTTAAAAATGCCTATTTAGAAAAGCATGAAGCAAAAAGGATAGTAAGGGTTACATTACATACCTATGAGATGAGTGAAATCAATGTCTAATCTTTGCCTATACTTGAAGTCTGGGTCCATACCACTGCAGTGCAGCACTATCTGTGAAACACACTCTTCAATTATCTTATAATACTGTGGTCTGAAAAAGAGAGAAAGTATTTGGGAACACTTTTTCTACCTGTAAAAGTCAATTTTCTTAAGAAGAAATTCAGTCTGTTAAAAAAAAAAAGTCTTTTTCTATTGCTACTAAAAAAAAATCCCTCCAACCATTACACTCCCTTAGGAAAAAAATGCCTAAACTTAAAGATGGTCTGGATGTGATAGTGCCAATCCCACTGTGATTTAATCAACTGCAAATGTTTAGTGACTTAATACACTTTTTCAGGGATCTATGCCTATGTTCAAAGACACAATTTTCTCTATTTACTTAAGCTATTATTTCTAAAGCTAGTGAAAATAAATGACTCCTTAATGCTACATCTGTGGAAACAGAAATGGTTCTGGGCTTGCACAAATTCTCAGATTCCATAAGGGATGAGTTTCTTGGCATTAGGTGCTTAGGAAATATCTTGAATTTACTATAGCATGGTAATCAAGATAGCTGTAATAGCTAACACAACGGTTCTAAGCCAACTTGTAGATTATTCCAAAGATATATTTATTTTAATTTTAAAAGACCCATTTTCTCAAAGCATATACATTTAATATGCATGGCTATATACTCAATTTGTATAAGGTATTAACAGTTTTAAATTATATCCTAAATCTGTAACCTACCAGGGTATTTTTAGACTTAAAAATGACAACTCATATAGTGTAAAATTTTAAAAAGTCACATTTTACATTAAAATGTGGAGGAGATTTAGTATTTTTCTTGGGCTAATCAATTCAGCAGAGTAAAGATCAGTAAGAAATACTTCAATAGATGAATTATGACATAAACATCCCAAAATAAAACTTGCAAAGCTACCACGTTCAAAAGTTTGCAAATGAAGCCAAACATATTCTAATTGCTCTTCCATGTCTTTAGTCATGGAGCTGGCCCTAAGGCTTAAATTAAAAAGGAATATATATTACACCTGTAGGGCATTGTCAGCTCATTATCAGGTGTCCTGTAAATAATGGATCATAATCCCAACAGAGTCAACAACTCTGAGTAAATAAGAAAAATGCAATGGTTCTCCTTTAGGGCAAGTTAATGATGCACAGGTGAAATAAAAGTGGTTATCACACTTCTACCTTACATGAAAGTTCTCAGGATGAAAAGGATGTCATATGTGTGTACTTTCTCACTTATTCAGGCTTACTGAGAATGGACAGTTCCACGCAAATGGAGTCCGCAGGTAACTGAGCATCCCTGGGCACAGTCCCCTTTTAATAATCGGAGTTTAATTTGGAAACATTTTTTTTTTAATGAAATACCGCCTTACCTGCTCAAAAACAATATGTTATTTATCATTTTTAAAATTCTTCTATTTTTGTAACATCATGATGTCCATTAAATTATTATACTGGCCTGAACTATAGTAGCTCTCTATGTTGCCTTTCTGTCATTTTTGTTGCAAGTACACCTTAACTCCTGCTGGCTTCCTTTTCCCTTTAATCACACAGGTTTCGAGGAATCAGAGAACCTAGGTTGTTGGAATTTCATGTAAATTAGGCTATGGCAAACATCTAACAGCCTCTTGAATAGGTAAATATAACACTACAGTCACAGCCTATGGATAAATTTAGTCACTCAGAACATATTTTATAACTTTCCTGTTTTTAGATATGTGCCACACTACTAGATTCTAAGACTTTTCATTTTATTATCATGCTCATTTATTTTTTCCAAAAAATTATACTATTGGACCCAAAACTGAAATATTTGCATTACTTTCTTCAGATGTTAAGATTATATTACTAGATTAAAATATAAAATAGAAGTAACAGTGAGAATTTAACTACTAGAATGTACAACACAAGAAAAAGTTTGAGTCTTTAGTGTTTTCTCTGTGTTACCATTATCTAGCCAAGAAATTCATCAGCGTTAGTAGTATCCATTGGGTTTGTTATTATTAACAATCCTGTTGCTGAAATACTCCAATTTTAAAGGAAGTATCACTTCTGATCCAAGTAAAATGAAATAAACACCATTTTAAAAGCGGTGAGTGGGCCAGGTGCGGTGGTGCATGCCAGCCCTGGGAAAGCTGAGGTAGAAAGATGGCCATGAGCCCCAGGCCAGCCTGGGCTACAAAGTGAGTTCAAGGCCAGTCTGATCTGCATAGCGAGACCCTGCCTCAAGAAGACAAAAAAAAAAAAAAAAATGTGGTGGGTGCTTTTAGTAGCCAAACTCTTATATTCTGTGTATGTTTCTGTGCATGTAAAATGGAGGCCCCACTACACCGTTAATTTTCCCTTAATATCCAATTCAAAGTATAAACACAGTACCATCAGAACTGCCTCTTACCTGATATAGTAGTCATTTCTGATAAGCAAAAAATGTTGTAGAATGGATAATAAATAAGATTCAGCAGCAGTGTCTTTCAACATATTATACAGAAGATGGTATACTTCATTCATATCAGTAAAAAGTAAGTAAAGGAAAAAAAATTCTTGATGAAAGTCACATTCAGAACAAAAGCAATTTAAATTTTAAAATACAGGTTTATAATTCTGCTTCCATTAGTGCTGCTAAAACTTTCAACTCCATGATCCACTATTTAAACCTTCAGGTGGTTAAGAAATATCTTGGATTTACTATAGCACTTGTAATCAAGATAGCCACAACAGCTAACACAACTGTGCTAAGCCCACTTGTAGAGTATTCCAAAGATGTATTTATTTTAACTTATTTTCAAACATCCATTTAATGAAAACATATACACTTAACATGTATGGCTATAAACTCGATTTGTGTAAGGTATTAATGGTTTTAACTTACATCCTAAATCTGTAATCTACCTTTACATACAGAAAATGATTCTATGGAATTATTTTTAGCTTTTAACTAGGGTAACAGAACAAAGGAGCATTTTTAGGACAATTTGACTATTAAACTCTTAAATGATCTGTCATTCATTAAAATAAAGTCCAGGTTATAGCTAGTACCACTGACACAGCAATGACGTTCATTACAATGGTTTTGTCCTGCTTTCCCTATGTTTTTTTTTTTAATTGAAGTTTATTGATACAATTTAGGTATACATAATGACTGCATTCATTATAGGGAATTTGTACCTGTACATGATATTCCACGGTTCCTCTTTTCTTCCATTCCCATCCCCTCTTTTCAAAGCCCCTTTCTCTCATTGTTCACAAAGCTCAGTTTTTATTTTCTCTTTCTTTTCTCATTTATTCTTTTCCTTCCTGTTTTGGATAGGGTACCTATAACAGGCCCTATATTATTCATGGAAGCCACTACTACTCTATTTTTACTGGCATATAAGATAGAAGGGAAACAAACACGCCATGGACTACTAACAGATCACAAGAACAGTTTCATTTTATCCAAATGAAATACTAAATCCAAAATTACTGTTGGTATTCATCTGCATTTCTTTCTTTGAGAAAGATGAAGAGTAAAGACAATGGTGACTGAAACATTTTTCTCAGAATACAAAAAAAAGTGGTAGAACTAAAGGTACTTTTAGTAATTTAGAAAACAGCACTGTTCTAACAAAAGTGAGGACCCGGAAAATCGATGCAGAGTAAAGGTAAATGATGAGATGTAATCCAACATCCTAAAAATAACTTGAAATGTCAATATTTTCTCTGAAGTAGAATTAAGTATAAGATGGATTACTTCTTGGATGCCATGTAAGAATGTTGTGGTAAAGTATGAGAAGATCCCTTAAATGATTATAGAGTGGGTTCAAAAAATAGCTTTATGGTACAACTTGACCATAAGAAAAAACTATATAAAGAAAAATAGTTATTAATTGATATAAAAGGCACTTAATACAAGACGAGCCATGGCAGACTAGTCACTAAACTCAGATAAAAAATTAGTCCTTCCAATAGTAACACTGTTATTCATTGCACGCACATTTACACAGTACCTATATGTATGACATCAAATAGGAACATCGGAGAAAGAAAAAATGAAATATAACATTTCTGCCCTCAATCTCACAGGGGCAGAAAAGCGTACATAAATAAGATAGAAGAAACAAGCTACCATGGGACTTTCAAGGAGGGGAATGTTCCAGCTCTTTTTATAGTGGCTGGGGGAGAGAGGGAAGAACATATTAGCAAGAAAAGTCCTAACTCAAAGGTTACTTTGGTTCTGAAGTGTTTCCCAACATCCCAGAACCTGTAAGAAATTTAATAGGTGTGAAGCAAGTGGCTAGCAGTGCTAGCACCCCTATCTCTCAGGTCTAAATTCACTTCACATATCATCAGTACTATAAGATTACATTGTAGCTCTATTTGACTCAGACACCTCCATGACATAGCCTTGTTATATAGTCAGCTAATTATTTTATCTAACCATTTTTTTCAACTGTTAAGGAACAAAACTTCTCTGACAGGAGATAAGACATTAATTTCCATTGAATGCTATCTCCAAATGGAGTACCGTTTAATACACTGAAAATATATATTAACTATAGTCACATATAAACTCAGGGAACTTTTCCCCATTTTTATATGCTAGGTGTACCTGTGCTAGGCTTGTGTCTATTCAAGGCCACTGAGGAGAATATATCTATTTTCCAGGGAGCTATTTTGCAGATTTTAATACAGTCTGTGTAACGCATAAGTACAGTGTGACAGTTCCTCAGTATGAATCTGAAGATCAGCATCATAGTGAGGTTCTAAGGTAAACAAATGGACATTAATTGGGCTAACAGACAAAAACTCTAATAATGGGTTTGAAAAAACACCCCCAAATTCCTTTCTAATTCGTGTAAAATTCTTTTTGTGGGTTGTCAAAGGATATTCCATTTCTGCTCGAATGTCATTCAGACGGTGAGACAATTCATTTAGGTCGTCCTCTTTGTTCTCATCAAATACTTTCAACTGAATATCAAGCTCCTCATTCTCTTTTTCTTTTAGATCCTAATACATAAACATAAAATTTAGCAGATAAACAACAGTTTGACAAAACAACATTTCAATAGTAATGAACAGAACATAATTCTTCATTTATACACATGAAGCAATTTCAAATACTGACCCAGGCAATTGGTTTCCTGAAAACAGAAAATGTAACAAAGTTTTTCTATTTCAAAATAAAAGAAGCTTATTGCATTCATTGCATTTTACTGCTGTGTCCCACATCCTGTTTATTCACTTTAAAAAATTAACAACCTCTTCCACAAAAATAAAAAACACTAATTGCTAACAAGCCAAATTAAATGCTGTAGGTTTGAACAAACATACTAATCAACGACTGAAAAAGAATGCATGCAGTTAGAACATTCCATATGCCTCTGGCAAAAAAAGAAAACATAGACCAATTGTATTAACAAAGAACAAATGCAAAGATATATTCAAGCACAACATTCCCAAGTATGGCGTGGAAAAGTTTTATAAATGAAATTATTGTAACTGATATTTTGCAATTTTAAAGCAAAAAGGTGTTAGGATTTTTTTTAAAAATCAATTTGTATATCTAGCTTCCTCCCCCACCTTTCATTTTTTTTTAGCCTAATCACAAAATACCAACTTGGGCACTGAAGTTTTGTTTTTTGTAATACATCATAAGCACATGCATTACAAAGCTCTGATGATTTTCAAAATAATAGTATAAAAAAACTTAGGAAGCATGCCACACTAGAGATTGTTGGGCTTAATATATATCACCTGGAATATCTTTAATATATGTCCTTTTAGGATGCAGCTTTCAAAACCCAAATCGATAATCACAACTGTGGATGTTCAAGGGTGATACCAAAATGGGACTAGTTGTTCAGAGCTGAACTTGAACTCTAAAAGGAAATGCAAGCATGGTGTACTTCAAATTAGGTAAATAAAAAAATGGGATCCACTTGTTTATATTTTTATTCAAAAGAATAATGATAAATGGAGCTGTAATGGCTATTATTGAAGCTAAACACAAATTTAGGCTATTTTTAAGTGTTCTTTTTCTAACATTTACATATATAATAATTTACTGAAATTGTATCTATAGAACAGAAGAAAATACATTTTAATAATTTTCTGCACAATGTATCCAAATAGCTTAATCTTCTATAAAAATTTGCTTTGGGTCTAGATTTCCAACTTGAAGAAGAATGAAGAAATTTATTTGAGTGCAAAATTATCTAACATCTGCAGGTGATACTATCTCTGGATTTCTGAAGTCAGACACATTCATATGCTGGTCATAACAGAAACTTTTCACACATTTGAAAGTATATTCTTTTCCTTACTCATGCCACAATACATTCTCTTAGATATCTATCATAAAACTTGAATACATTCAAAGTTTGAAAAACAGAAAAATGTAAATACTGCCACGTAAGTAGCATAAAAACTTTAGAAAACATGGAAAATAGTCTACAGGATTAAAATATTTTCAGTGAAAATAACGCATTGTGTGTAATTTATATAGCATAATAGAAAATGAAAAACATATTCAAGTGTAATATATTGTAAATGTTCTTTATCCATGATGCTCTAGGCTACTAACATGAATACATGATTTTATATATATGTACACATATTTATTTATATTAACGTTTTCTCTTGGGCAAATATTCAACCCTGAAAGGTGTATCAATAAAATCTTGATAAAACAAACATTTAATCAATTAAAAATATTTACATAGCACTAATAATATGATAGATGTCCTATAAAATGGAAATATATCACAAAAGTATATTATGAAATGAAGAATATCACAAAATTACTGAATTATACTATCACTAGTATGTAAAACATTTTAACAGAACAATTGCATAGTTATGGAACACTCTTTGAGGGCTAGGGATATAGCTACGCTGCATAGCATCTGCCTGGCAAGGGCAAGGTCCTGCCTAAGTTCGATTCCCAGTACCAAAAAAAAAAAAAAAAAACCACTTTTTGCATAATAACTGAAACATAAGTTTTCACAATACAGTGCACTGCAAAGAAAATCAAATCCCATTATCAGTAAACTAGTGATTACTAGCCATTACCAGCCAAGCTTTCAGAAGAATTAAAAAGGGCTCGCCAGTCGTTTAAAAGAGATAAAGTATGCTCAGAGCCTAGGAACACAATTTCTCACTACACTGCTGCTTCATATATCTCATGTACCTAATATTTACTTATTTAACTAAATAAAAGGCAGATAAAGAAGGAAAATGACAGATCAGCAGAAAACTACACCCTCTCAGGGACCCGCAATCCAGACACCTAGAAAATAATAACTTGGAGAAAAGAAAAAACAGTACACGTAGATTCCAGGAATCAGGAGGTACAGAAAAGAACAAAGCAGTCTGAAAGTTTACTCTGGCTCCTGGGAAGAACCTGCTTCCGCAGATACAAGGTGAGCCCTCAGGGTCAGGAACTCCAGGGAGAAACAATAGCCGTGAAGAATTCACAAAGAATACATACAGTAAGAAGTACTTCCTCCTATAAAAGGCCTTGTACAGGGCTAAATGGCCAATGGTATAGCATAGCTTAGATACACTTATTCAAAATCTAAGTTGTCAGTGGAATCAAATGAGATCACTAAGCCCGGAAGATATTATTAATACATTCAAATCAAAGGGAAAAAGGTAAGGACAAGAGTTATCTTGTCTGTTGTCTTTTTTCTTTTTTCAAATGATGAGAACTGCCAGGCATGATGGAGCACACATGTAATCCCCGTATTCAGGAGGCTGAGGCAGGAGGATCACTCTGAGTTCAAGGCCAGCCTGAACTACACAGCGAGACCCTTTCCAAAAAATGATGAAGACCAAAATAAATTAAAATGAGAATCACAGATTTCTTCACTAGCCACTCAGTAGTATAAAGCAGAAAATTTATGTTCAACTAGAAATGAAACCAATTGAAAGATCTGAAGAGCAATAGCAACAATTAAGGCAGAAAATAGGTCATCCTAGTAAATGAGTACCAAATGCTAAAGAGGCCCTGCAGCCAAGGAGTGTCCAACATTACTTTCCTAGAAACCGAGAAACAGTCCAATAAGAGCAAGCACAGAAACCAATGAAAAAGCAATTCAAAAGTGAACTAGACAAGAATGTGTCTAACTTTCTAAGGCCAGACACTTTGCAGAAAGAGTGATTAGTGACAAAACAAGAATAAACATATGCTATGACCATGAATTCACCTATCTTCACCGCTCATGCAACCTCTACCTGTGTCATTTAGAATGTTGCTGTGATCAATGCAGCCAAGTACTTGGCTTTTAAAATCAACAGTTAAAGAACCACTCAAGATGACTTCGACGTACAAATTTCTAAAACCAGGTAGACCCAAACTCATACAACTTGTCATCAGTTTCAGTGAAGAGCAGTTAATCAAAATTTACAGACGCATACTATACACTTACTAGTTCCTAACCAGCTAACTTTTCCCTTTTTATTTCCCAATTTTCAATTAACCTTGAGTCTCCTTTTAACAATACGTGTCTTAAAAAGTTACTCTTCAGTTAACATGCTTAATAAAATAAATTATAGAGCCACAGTAGGTATATTATTAGAATGTGCTCATTTATTTTAGATACAGATTAAAATATAACTTTTCCAAAAATATTCAATGTTATCATAATTATACAAATATTCATATTTCATTTGAGAAATAAAGCATTTTCTTTAGAAACAAAACCTTTTATGTTCTCAGTCGTCAAAATTCAAACAAGTTCCCTACTGAACTGAGGAAGCCAAAAACTCAAAACACAGTATATGTCAATAGCTGAATTTTAAATCCTGAATCATCACTCCTGTAATGAAACTGACATTACTGCAATATATAAAAGCTTACACAATTTCTAATTCTTTACCAAAAAAAAGTACCAAGGCACATGTATTTACTCTGGTTGAAGACATATTTTTTGTCCAAAGAGAAAAAAGTTACAGCTCATCAGCAAAATAAATGTATACACAACTTACTGGTAACATTGCTTTTAGTCCTGAACGAAGAAATTCATTCCTTAAATGTATTCGAAAATCAAGTTCATATGGAGAAGTGACAAGGGCATTTATAAACTGCATGCAGGCCACCTTGAATAAGAAAGGAAATTTTCTTTAGAAAAAACAAATTGAAATAAATTAAGGAACTATTTATTTAATACATTCAAATAATGCACTCACTAATGCCATTAATATATATATTATACAATAAGAAATGCAAATATTTCTACATATACAATGATGTTCATCTTCAGATTATAAACAACAAAATTAACAGTTGGTTGATGTTTAAACTAATTCTAACAAAGAGGTGAAGGATGGTCAAGTGTGCGTGCTTTGCTGAACTCTATAAAAAAATTGAACTCCTACTGAGAAAATCACAGTTCAGAAAGGATGCATATAGAGCCTTTGAAATGATTATGCAACGTATCTTTCATATCCAGCTGTCCTCAGAGTACCACTGGCCTCAATTCTCTATAGTTACAAATACTTTTCTAAAATAAATCAAATATAATTATAAAGTACTCTAATATTTAACAAGGAGCAGTGATAATTTGGAGAAATCATTACATTGATATATACTCTTTCAGTCCTCTTATTGAGATGAATTTGGAAAAACAGAGTATAAAATACATAATTAAATTAACTCGGTAGGTGTGAAAAATTAATGCAACTAAATGAATATCAACTAGAAGCCACTGTGACACCAACACTAATATGTACTGTGTAATAAAGTATAGATGAGGGCTTGTTTTCCAATGACATGTTTCATTAATTATAATGATATTGGAAAATGAGTTTTCCGTTTCTTATGTTCTGATTTTGAATATCCCTATTATAAAAGAGGATTTACTTTATGGAAATTGTAAATGAGAAGGGAATCAACAAAATGCTAATTTTCAAGTGCTCCATTTATTATTCAACAAAAGTGCTTTTGAAAATGCTACTCAAATCTAAGGCAACTGGCAAATACTTTAATTGAAGAGCTATACATCTAAATTGATTATTTTTAGAGTATTAGTGAGTAGTAGAGTGTTCATAGCGCTGAATGCAAGGGAACTTGGGGGAAAATACCAAGTTTAGTAAAAAAGTTAAGTATCTATAGAAAGAATCTAAATGAATCAAGAGTATAGAAAAACTACAAGCACAAATGTTTTTCAAAAGTGTTTTGACTTGTCTTCCCCCAAATTGTTTGTTTACCTGTGATATGGTCTTACTATGTAATTCAGGCTGGCCTTGAATTCACTATGTAGCCCAGGCTGACATTCAAATGGTGGTGATCCTCCTGCCTCAGCCTCCCAAGTCCTAGGACACAGGCGTGTACCACCACACCCAGTTCTCCACACCAATAATTATGATACAGGTTTTTTTCCAAAGTAGAATGAAAAGATTAAAAGGTATATAGTTTTTATTTTTATCTGTATCTTATACAGCTAAGCTGCTCTGGAGGAGATAATTTATTTTTCATCCAGTTTCAGACATCAAAAGTCACATCGTTTAAAAGGGGCAATTCAGACTGTTTATAACACTGTAATATACCTACCTGATAACTGAATAAGAGGGTCTAATTTCTACGAATCTTCAGATATCAGGATAAAACAGACAACTGGCTATATGTTCGGCATACAAAGTAATTTATGATGTTTGCAACTTAATTGCATAACCTTCTTTTTTTGTTTTGTTTTGTTTTGTTTTTCTCCAGTACTGGGAACCAAACTCACGACCTTGCGCTTGCCAGGCAGGCACTTTGCCGCTGAGCTAAATCCCCAGCCCCTGCATAACCTTCTTATTTACAATAAGAATTTGCGCAAATTGTGTCAGTATTTATATGTTTGCATACTGTGTACCACACTATATTACTGTACTTGGTTGAGTGATTATTACTGTGTTACAACTATGACATGACTGAACACGCCAAAGTACATGCCTGATCCAAAATTAATAGAGAGAAAAGTTGCCTTCTGTTAGGGTTGTTTTTGCCAGAAGAAATTCTAGCTTAATGTGTTGTATTAACAGCCTACAAGTAAAGAGAACTTTCCATAGGAAACAAGTTCATCAGTCTTGTAACTGTACCTTTAAACAAATGAAAGTATTTAGCTGGAGAGACAATGAAAATAGTAAAGGTCAAAATTAATGAACATATTAACATAAAAATTACTTTACATTTAAAATAAACGTTGCAATATTTTTCCATTACATATAATGTAAAAATATATAACTGAATATGAAAACAGAACTTCAATCTATTAACCACAGTGTAAAATAATCAGGAGACACACTGAAGTCAGTAGTTTAAACAAGTAAAGGCAAAAGTTTATCAATGTATTCTTTAGTGCCTACCAAATTCTAAAAGAAATCTAATTAATTACAAATAACATAAATCAAACAATCATATTTCCACATTATTTTCTAACTTAATCTGCTAGAGTACTACTTTTTCAGAAATATTTATATTGCCTGAATATAATGATCAAAAAAGCCTTCTTAAGTATTTCCATCCTTTATGCCACAATTACTGCTTTTTTCAGAGAACAGGGACATATCAATCCAAAATTGAAATAATTGTCACTATTTATGAATGCAAATTTAAATAATATATAATTAGCTTAAAGAACAGAATATATTATGAACATGAAACAATCATTGTGTAGATTTTTAATTCATAGCTAAACACAAAATTGCAAACTATTATTGCTATTATTAACTACTCAAAAATTTATTAAGTGCTTCCATAACTCACCATCTAATTTCATTCTCATAAAAACCACAGGAGATAAATATTGCTATTGTCCTCATTTGACAGATGAGGAAGTTGAAGCTTAACGGACATAAAATAACTTACACAAAGTCACACGGCATTGAGGCAATTAATGTTTCTAAATATGATCACATTAACACAAATACAGAATATTCGCAGCACATTCACATGCCTTAAATTCACGTCATAAATTCACCCAAAAGAGATTTTAAGGATAAAATAATAAAATTTAATTGTATATTATGCTCAATATACTAGGAATATTTAGCATTAAAACTATGGATTAGAAATACAATTATTTTAACAGCATGGTGTCTAGTACATAAAGAAGTAACCATAATATATCAAGAAATGCAAGTAAAAATGGCAAAAGTAGAAAACGTTTACTGGATTAGGTTAAAACTCAGTGCAGAGACATTCTGAGCAGCAACATATGGATAGCCTTCCATATCCAAAACAATGGCTCCCTCACTCTCTGTCCTTTAATTTCAGCGCTGCTCCTCCCTACTCAGTATGCATATGTATACAAATACACAAACACGTGAATACACACAATTGCACCTCTCATCACAGTTTAATTTAATAACAATTAAACTGTTCAGTTTCAGTAGCCAAAGTTCACATGCTCAAAATCTACATGGAGCTTATAGCTACTTTATTGAACAGCATGGATACAGTACATTGCAGAAAGTTTAGATTGAATAGCACTGCACTGGAGACTTTAGAGGAAACTACTTCCACCCTAATCTTTAAAACCTAAACTCCAAACTGGGCATGGTGGTGCATGCCTGTAATCCCAGTATTCGGGAGGCTGAGGCAGGAGGACCCTTGCAAGTTTGAGACCAGCCTGGGCTACAAAGTGAGCTCAAGGCCAGCCTGAACTGCATAGCAAGACCCTGTCTCAAAAAGACCAAAAAGAAAAAAAAAATACTAAGCTCCAAACAAGTACAAAACGATTCCTCAATAATTCCTGTGTACAGTATTTTAAAATTACAATGAATGGGCATAATCCACTTGTTTGTAGAAATTATTGAAATCCATTTGCACCCTGTAAGAATGGGCTTACAAGTACCGCTGGGCATGTGTGCTGAAAGTAAATTCATTGATTGCTCAGGTACTAGGAAATGGCCCAATGAACATGGTTGTGGGAGGGGAAAGGGAAAATAAAAGCTAGTCACATATGAATCATATCTGTTGTACTAAACATGTCAAACAAAAGCAAAAATTACTCTGCCCCCAAAAGACAAAATAATCTAACTCCAGAGATAGAGTAAAACATCAGATATAGCCTATATCTAGTAATCTGAGCAACTGCTTTGAAGGTAACCACATGCAATATAATAATCATTGTTAATTTCCTGTCATCTGGTTTTGAAATTCTGTGTTGGTTTTTTTCTTCTTTCTCTTTAAAATAAGAAATTAAAAAAAATCATAGGATTTTAAAACTCCAGAGAACATGAAATACTTAGGTCCAGTAAATTCTTATAAAGATAAATCAAAAAATCCTAGAGAGATTAGGTGATTTTCCCGCATTCACATGGCTAAAAAGCCCCAATGATGAGACTAGAACTCAGGTTTCATGATCTTCAACCTTGGATACCGGCTACCTCTAGGATTCAGCTTTGCTGAATGTTATTGCTCTTCATAGCGGAAAGAAAATAAATGCTTTCGAATTTAATATCAAAACTCCATTATCCAGAGGTCCTCTGTTGCCTAGTTGCTTCAAATGACTGTAAATTTCAAAATGATCTTCCATACTCACTTTGTAATACAGATTCCAAAAAAATCAAACTTTTTAAAATCACAGGAAATCAGTAAATTTTGTTCATTAATTATAAATGTTAGACTATGACCACCATTCTTATATTTAATGAGTAAACATAATCACTATCTGTATTTGCATTCATCAGGAAAATTCTATATTATATATAATTTCTATGCATTGATGTACCGAGAAAAACATTTCAAAATAAGTATCACCATACAATTACTGTGGAAAACCTAGAACCTCTTCCATTATTTTAAGTCACAGGCTTAGGAACTATATAAACATTTTTCTGTTTGATCAAAATTCATAGAGTTATGGAGTACAATAATTGCTACATATGGGGCATTTCAGACATATTATCCATATTGCCATTAGCTGTGACAAATTGTGCTTTTAAAATTTTATTGACACTTTCACATACTTGGGCTTATTAAGTAGTCTGCTGACATTAACAAGGCCTTTCTTTATCCAAGCCCAGCAGGAATTAAGAAAAGAGACGGCTTAAGTCAAAATAAATACCTACCAAGAAAGATACAAAGGTACAGAGCAAATTAATAAAGTCAA